CAACCGACGACTTTTCTGTTTAGTCGTGATGCTGATGATGGTACGATAGTACCGAAATGCATTCAAGGTACTCTTTTCGATTTCTTTTGTTTTAAATGAATTGAAAATATTGAATTAGTGAAAACAATAAGGTGCGATTCAATTATTTGTTGATTTATCGGTTTTCACGTCGCTCAAAAACATATTTATTAATGTATCGCCTTTGTTTTTGTCCATGGCAGACTGGATGCATGTTGAATGGTATGGTTCTGTTTGAGTTCACCAAATTTATAATGAACATATCGATTGAAAATTCATTTAAGAATTCTGTTCCAACAATTTGATTTGTGATTGATTCTAGATCTGTATTCTTTGTAGTTTCACACAAGTCTCCGATTTCGTTGTAAAATCCATCCTCTTCCAATTTGGGAAAATCCACATTGTTGAGAATAAATTAGACTTCAGAGGCGCTATCACATTCGCTATCAGAATCACTATTCAATACCGAATGGATACGAAAAAAGGTGGGTTAGCGGGTGCTAGGTTGTTCCGGGGCCTCCATTATTTTGATGGCATAAATCGAGTGGGAGTGATAAAATCCACCTGGGAGCCTATTTTGGGTACCTCCCGAACAAAAGTTTGATTTTTCAAGGAATTTTGAACAAACATACCCATTTAATACCAAAAAGGTGGGTTAGCGGGTGCTAGGTTGTTCCGGGGCCCCTATTATTTTGATCAAATAAATCGAGTGGGAGTGATAAAATCCACCTGGGGAGCCCATTTTGGGTACCTCCCGAACAAAAGATCCATTTTTCGAGGAATTTTAAACTTATATACCGATTTAATACCAAAAAGGTGGGTTAGAGGGTGCTAGGTTGTTCCTGGTCCCTATTATTTTGATGAAATAAATCGGGTGGGCATGATAAAATCCACCTGGGTAGCCTATTTTGGGTACCTCCCGAACAAAAGTTCGATTTTTTGAAGATTTTTCATAGGCTAGTTATCCTAGGGTACATCTGGGGTGGCTGAAAATTTAATGGTTTCCAAGTCTAACGAAGCACAAACGTTTGGTACTTGCAGAATTTCTTTTCCTATTCTGGTATTTGAGCAATCGCGCTAACAAATTTTTGCGTACAGCGTACAGCGTACAGCGTACAGGGTACAGGGTACGACACACCCACATTAACATAGCAAAATAACCACTGCATCGTGCTTTTTGGTGTCGAAAATGGATAGAAAAATGGTATTTCGGGGTACTTAGGTTTTGGAGTGATTACAATACTTTTACTCACGACATGGGCGTGCGAAAAAGTAAAAACTTGATACAAAGATCACTGGTGAAAATTTCACCGGAGAAATTTTTTCATTTCACAAGGAACTGTGTACTTAGCTTTATGCGAAAAAATGATAAGAAAAATTCGCGTTTTTCACGGTTTTCGCTTAACTGATAAGAGATAACAACTTGATGCTTGTAGCGAAGTTGTAGTACTTAAGCTGCTTTACAACTTTGGCATAGATACCATCTCGTTATCTCTTATCAGTTTCGCGGAATATGCGAAAAACCGCAAAAAACCGTGAAAAACGCGAATGTTTTCTTATCATTTTTTCGCGTAACTGATACGAGATAACGACTTGACGTCTGTGGCAAATTATAGTACTCAACCAGAGCTACAACTTTGCCATAGACACCATCTCGTTATCTCTTATAAGTTCCGTGAAAAATGATAAGGAAAAAACGCGTTTTTTCGCGGTTTTCTGCGGTTTATCGCGTATTCCGCGAAACTAATAAAAGATAACGACTTGGTATCTTCGGCAAAGTTGTAGAACAGCTTGAGTACTACAACTTCACCATAGACATCAAGTCGTTATCTCTTATCAGTTACGCGGAAAAACGCGAAAAACGCGAGTTCTTGATAATCATTTTTCGCGAAACTGATAAGAGATAACGACTTGGTGTCTGTGGCAAAGTTGTAGTACTCGACCTGCTCTACATTTCTGTTGAAGAGGTAAGTCTCTTACTTCTTATCGGCTTCACTAAAACGAGGTGGGAAAATTTCGCGATTTTCGCGTTTTTTCGCGTTTTTCGCGGAACTGATAAGAGATAAGCAATATTTGTTGCATCAAAATTATAGCAAACTTTGAGTATTACAACTTTGCTTCAGACACTAATTTGTTATCTCTTATCACAGTCCAGATTTCATATGAAGTATCTTGGGGGCCCTGGAGTCCCCCAAGAACAGTAATATGTTGCAAATATGAAGAACAGTCATAGTGTTAATAACTTCAAAACGATATTATTAAGATTCATCCGATAACGTTATTATTTGAATATAGTTAATAACCTGATAAAAAGTTGATAGCGTTATTAAGATTTATTGGTATTATGATCGGATCTCAATAATCTCTCAAAATTATTAGGATGGTTATTAAGATACGAATATGGCACAGCTATAAAATACATTGCTTCTTATGGAGACTAAATGGATGGATTTTTGTGCGAGCGCCTCTAGTGAATATATCTCGAAATGATGAAATATTTCAAGCTTTGGAATGCTTTCATGATAATTCCATTCCAGTGGTGGATTTTTTTGACTTATACACATAACATTTTATCTGTCAAAGCTGTCAACATCTGTTGTTGTGCAATTCAAAAATAGTACATTAAGATGGAAAATACAGTTGAGAAAATTGTCTCAAAAAAAACTGAGTGTGAAGAGGTAACCATTCGTATGCTCTTGAATAGTGAAAAACATTTGAATTTATATCGATTTTTACATGCAAAGGATTTTTTCTTCGTGAAATGGTGTGGGCTTTCAAAGAAGGAAAATTCCTGGGTGCCCTTCGATGCTCTCTCAAAACGCCTTGAATTGGTCGAAGATTTCGAAAGAAACAGAGCAAGAAGAATTATCGGTATTCAATTTTTTTTTGAAAAAGTGCGAAAACTGTGTTTTTTTCGGTTTTAATATGTACGTTTTTTCAGATGTCAAGAAAACAAACGGATCAATCGAATACTTGATTGAAATGTCGGCCAATTTTGCTGAAAAATGGTCGGCGAAAACAAGTGCGTTTTTGTGGCCGAGAAAGCTAGCCATCTTTCTCAAATATCTCATACAATGGCGAACGGTAGTGAATGGTGACGACGTCATAGAGAAAATTCAACATACGGACAATCCGATTGAGATAAAGTGTAATTAGTCTAATCGCCGCACAAAATTAATCATATTCGATCCGATGCGATCGTAATAATTTCTCTTTGAATGTCTTTTCTCATTCAGATGTCACTCGATCTGTCACAGGAATCATGTACTTTGTCCGTTTCGATAATGGTGGAATGTGGATGACGTCATTCAGAACAATCCATCTGTGCCCTCATCTAGTTGTGGATTATTTACAAAAATATCTGCAATAAACTTACCGATCGTTACCGATAATTATGTTCGCTCGTGTTCGCTATTCAATATTCAATATTTGAAATAAACTAATAAAAAACCATAAAAAACAAAGAAATATTCATGTTTGTTCGTGTTTGTTCATTTTAATTTTTGATGGTTTCTGATTCTTCAAACTAGGCTAAATCCTTGGTGATTTTGTATTGATGCCATCAGTTTGAATTTTAATTTTTCTTTCGTTTCCCAATGAGCCATTTTCAAAATCGTATGCATCGAAATTATCCATAATAAAATGCATAAAGAATGCATTAGATACAATGTTTTTTATAGTAGTTCACCATACTACAAGTATATGGTACCGTTCTATCATATCTTTTTAGACTATCTATCATATCTTTTGTGAGTAAATGATTTAGGTGTTCCGATGCATAGAATATGCATAATGTTATGCATCGGAACACCTTAAATCATTTACTCACAAAAGATATGATAGATAGTCTATGCATAACAGTACCATATATGGTGAACTACTATAAAAAAAACATTGTATCTAATGCATTCTTTATGCATTTTATTATGGATTACTCAACCAATCTCTGTGTACTTGAAAGTTGGACAAGTTAGAATATAGCTAAGGAAGCAAATTTAGTCCTTCCTCATCGTTTTGTATATCCATATATTCGATAAGCCATCTCATTACGCATTTATATTGAAATGCTCATAAGACAAGTCAAAAAAAAAGAAATCGCATTCATTTACGCAACAAAATATTGTTTATTGCTAATAATATTACAAAGGCTAAGGGGGCAGCGTCAGCTGCTTTTTGCTACTAATAAGACGTAGTCTCGAGACTGGTTTTACACTAGGTAGAATCGATTTTCAAAAGTGAGGACCTTTTTTTTAGATCTGTTGAATATTTATAGGAGAAATGGAATAAATAAAAATGCCTGAGCGTTATTTTCTTAACGTTTATTCTAAACCGATGTTCTTGGTAACATTTCCAAATCAATACTGAATGCATCTCGCTATGTCGCGGCTATTTATAGGAAAAAAGGCCAAGCGCAAAAGGCTGCTTGGCTCCATGCAATGATTGCTTAAATCTAATCTGTTCAATTCTGAACATCCTCCCCGGCCTGGCCCGAAGTTCCATTGGTGCAAATCGGTAATAGACACAGCTTGACGATTGGTCGTCGGTAGGTGTGTCTGCTACCCTCACGTGCCCATCATCTCCTTCGATGATGTTGATCACTCTCCCCAGTGGCCATTGTGTCGGTGGTAGTGTATCTGTGACGATCAAGACTATGTCGCCAACTTGGATATTTCGTTGGCTCTGTCGCCACTTATTCCGCTTCATTAACGTAGTCACGTACTCGTGTGACCATCTCTGCCAAAATTCTTGAGTCATCTTCGTCATTAGCTCGAAATTTCTCAGTCTATTGGCGGCTGTTGTCGTGTAGTCCCGACTAAGCGAAGCAACCAGTGGCTCGCCGACGAGAAAATGGCCCGGTGTCAGTGCTAAATCGTCGGTTGCGTCGTCGCTCAATGCGATTAGGGGCCTGGAATTTAAGCAGGCCTCCACTTGTGTTAGCAATGTCGCTAGTTGTTCAAATGTCAGCTGTTGACCGCCTATGACGCGTTTTAGGTGAGACTTCGCACTTTTCACCGCCGCTTCGTGCAGCCCACCCATGTGTGGTGCTGATGGTGCAGCCTCTCTGATCGTCTGTACAAATAGATAGGAAACGTCAAACAAGAACAATAAAGCGGCACCTGGCGACTGGTTGGAGAAATAGAGAATCATGCACATAGTTTGCTGTAACAAGTATGCGTCTGTGTAAGTGCGTCTGTGTTAGTTCAAACGTTGAAAGTATGACACATTGCACTTAGTCCCCAGGTGCCGCTGTATTGTTTACTATTTTCATGATCAGAAAGGCTGTGATGGTGGTATGAATTTCCACTGTGTCGTGGTTCCGTTCTGTGCGCTCAATTCCCTCCAGGTGCTGTGAATTTGCTGTTGCTCATTGGATTCGCCCCGAAACGTTCTGTTGATTTGCTGCTGCTCGTTCGAGGCTCCCTGGAACGTTGTGGAATTGTCGGCGAACAGCACCTTGATCCTCCCCCGGCGGCAGGAGAATCGCGTGAATGCTGCGATGAAGGCCTCTGTAGTCATATCAGAGACGAGTTCTAAGTGTACCGCTCTGGTGCGCGTGCAGACAAATACTGAAATGTATCCCTTGTCGATTATTTTCGTCCGCGATGCGTTGTATCGTTTGATGTTCACCGGTCCGGCATAGTCGACGGCCGATGCTTCGAATGGTGGCCCCAGTGTTACCCTTTCTTCTGGCAAATGGGCCATCAACTGATGTTGCGTTTCTTTCCTCTGTCGGATGCATGGTATACACTTCAAAATGGTGCATTTCACCGCCTTTCGGCCGCCCAAAACCCAATATCGCTGCCTAATGTACTGCTGTGTGAGCTGCGTCCCGCCGTGTAGCGTTGCCTCGTGGGCTTGCTCAGTCAGCAATTTTGCCGTTGTACACTTCCCGCTGAGTAATATTGGATGTACTGTGTCGTACGGCATATTTGATCGTTTGATCCTCCCTGCCAATCGCAGAATCCCGTCATAGTTAACTTGGACAATGGTGACCCTTGTGGTAGGTCTTGCTTTCTGCTCAATATTTCGATTTCTGAGTTAAAATGTACATTCTGGCTATGTCGCACCCAAATTCTTTCAGCGTTCAAAATTTCATTGTCGGTGAGCTGCCCCATCTTTCGGAACGCTCTTTTCACCGTGAATCGGAGTACATACGCTGTGACGCGTAACAATTTTGACCAGCTGCTAAATTGGTTCAACAGATTTCCTCTGTGATTTGAAACTGGTCCGCTGCTGTCGATGTGTACATTTACCATCGCCGTAGTTTTTCGCTCGTGGCAGCGAACTGTTTTGATATCGGCTTCGGTAAGCTTTAACTTGCTTTCTGGCCATTTCTCTGTGTCGAGAGTCAGCCAATCAGGTCCATTCCACCATAACCTGCTGCCAACTATTTCGGTTGGTGAAATCCCCCGCGATGCCAGATCCGCTGGGTTGCTTTTCGTGTCGACGTGCCTCCATTCGACACCGCACGTTAACTCCTGGATTTCTCCGACTCTGTTGCCGACGAATACATCCAATTTAGCGGGTGATTTCCCGATCCAATGCAGCGCTATCATGGAGTCTGACCAGAGTGTGCAGTCGTTTATGTCAACATCATGAGCTGACCTTACTCCCTCCAATAGTTGTGCCGTTAAGTGGCATGCTGTTAATTCCAGCTTTGGAATTGTGCTTCCCTTCACTGGAGCCACGCGTGCTTTCGCGAATACCAGGTGCACCGTGACCGGTTCGTCGTCGCGTTGTTGCCGAAGGTAGAATTTCGTACCATATCCAGTCTGTGACGCGTCCGCAAATGCATGCAATTGCTTTTTCGATTTGAGATCTGTGTTGATCCATCGAGGAATTCGTACGGCCGTGATGTTTGGTAATTCCATGGCGAATTGTTTCCACCGTTCCAATGGTTCTCCCTCGACTGTGTCGTCCCAATCCAGTTTGTCTATCCATAAGTCTTTCAGCACTACTTTTGCAAATATGACTACGCACGATAAATACCCACATGGATCGTAAAGTCGTGCTATGTCGGACGAAATGCTACGTTTTGTCGCGTTCTCCAAGCGAATTGGGTTTTTAATGATATATTGGAATGTGTCTTCGTTTGCATCCCAATGCATTCCGAGCACAGCGGTTGTCTCTTCTTTGTTCAGCTCAATCAATTGACATCCGCTTGACTTGATGTGTTTCCGCATCACTGGATCATTGGTGTTCCATTTTGCCAATTCCATCTTTCTCCTGCCGAACATTTCGATGAGCTCCCTATGCAATCCGATGGCGGATTCAACATCATGACTCCCGCTCAATGCGTCGTCGACATAGAATGATGTCTTTACTGCCCTTGATGCCGCTGGAAATTCTGTGGCGAATTCGTCAGCCATGTAATCCATGGTGCGTATGCTAACGTATGCAGCCGATTTGTTCCCATATGTCTGGGTGTTTAGCCAATATTCGCGAACTGGTTCATCCGTGGACTCTCGCCACAATATTCGCTGCATGTCACGTTGATCTTCGGCGATCAATATCTGTCGATACATTTTTGAAACGTCAGCGGTCAGTGCCACTCGGTGCGTTCGAAACCTCATGAGAGTGGTGATCAGCTCTGGCTGAACTTTCTCACCGTTCAGCTGAATATCGTTGATCGAAATTCCATTCTCAGCCTTCGCGCTCCCATCAAACACCGTACGGAACTTTTCCGTGCCCGCTGCATGGTGAGGTATGTAAATTGCTGTGTCGCTATGGTGTTTTTGTACCGGCACTCTACTCATGTGGTTGAGTTCTTCGTAATCGCGCATAAATTTTGTATATTTTTCTCTTAGCGCCGGGTCGCGCGCGAATTTGCGTTCCATTTGCATTAATCGCGCGTACGCGATATCGTAGGTGCCGATTACTTGTGGTGCATCTGGTTGCAACGGCATTCTTGCGATTTACCGCCCCTCATGATTGGTTGTAATGCTGCTGGTGAATATGTCTTCGAACAATTGTTCTTCTTGCGTACGATAACGCTTAATTGGTATTTGATCCCGCTCCCAGAATTTTGAGATCATGTTTAACAGCTCTTCGTTTGACACTGACCCCTCCACGGTATTTACGATTGACGCGCGTTGATACGTATGATCGTATCCGCCAAACACGATCCAGCCAAACGTCGTGCGTTGAGCGGTTGGCGCATCCCTCATTTTTCTGATTCCGTTTATGATAACGCGACTGTAAAAATCCGCTCCCAGAAGCAAATCCACTTTGTTGGGTTGATGGAACGTCTTATCTGCCTGTTTGATATTTTTCAAATATTTCCACCCACTGGTGTCCAGTTTGTGGCTCGGTAGATTATTCATCATCTTGGGGACGATGTACGCTCCCACGTGCTCGTTGACTGTGTCATCATGCTGGGCTATTAAGTTTAGCCATGCGATGCCTCTGGCGGCCACAATGTCTCCATTGAGATTCTTAATTTGCATGTATGCAGCTGATTTCTGAGGTCTCAACAATTGTACTGCATGTCCGGTAACTAAATTGATTTGACCCCCGAGATCGCAAAGTGCTCGTAACGTTTTTGGGTTGCCTTGGTGATCATTGACGACCACCAAAATAGTGGCAAGTAGTGCGATGCTTAACTCTCGGCCTAGTCATTCCGCTGCCTCGGTGGCTTGGACGGTCGGCGCCACGTATTTCAAGCATAACAATCCGTTGTGATTTCCGTTGCAATGTTTGCAGGGGCCAAGCTTGCATTTGTTTACGTGGCATCGCGGCTTCAGACATTTTTCACATACATGAAATTGTCGAGCGCGGCGCATGCGTTGATCTACCGTCAGTTTTTTGAATTCTGGGCAACTAAACAATTGATGTTCGCCCTGACACATCGAACACTTCACTGAAATCTTTGCGATGCTCTTGACTCTTTGTCCACCGTCTGGTTGCGGTTGGGCTCTGTTACCCTGCTGTTGTTGCTGATTTCCTCCCTGTGGTGGTGTGTATCCAGCTGCGCCCTGTGTTGGGCGATTGCCAGCTTGTTGTGCCTGTCTACTTTGCTGAACCACCGGTCTCTCTCCTCCGTCAGCGCGTTGATTGAGGAAGTCCAGCAATGGTCGCAAACGCGGAATTTCCCGTTGTGGGCGTTCGTGTTTCCATAGCGATAGAGTCTCTGTGTCGAGTTTACGTAATAACAGATTGACCAATAGCGCGTCCCATGACTCAACATTCAGCTCAGGGTAGCGTTGCAATGATGCCGTCAAATTATTAACCCCGTTCATCAGTTGTATCATGTTGTTGCGTGTGGCCGCATTGATTGGTGGCATATCGATGAATGCGTTTATGATCGCGTCGATAATCCGTTGTTTGTTGTCATACTTTTCGACCATCGCCGCCCAAGCTCGTTGATAATTCTCGGGTTCCCGTGGTATTCCGGCAATCGCTCCGAAGGCCTCACTATCTCGTTCAATGCAATCATCCAAACGCAAGAATTTCGACAGCTCATCCACGTGAGGATTATTGTGGAAGAGCTGCTCCCATTTTGCCTTGAAGTTTGGCCACTCTTTATCATTGCCCGCAAAGCGATCGAATGACAAATGCTTAAGCGAGATGTTTTCAAGTGGATTAGATCCATTGCCTGTGTTGGCTTTCTTTTTCGACGGATCGAGTTCGCTGAGTCTGATCAGCACCGCTGTTCTTACTGTTGAATAGAGCTCGTCCGCATCCATCGTATACTCCTGCAATCTGCAGGCCCATACTGGCGTCAACATTTCAGATCGCTCGATTGATTCGGCTCTCTGAACGATTCGCGTATCGTACTGCTTAAGCAAATCTTCTTGTGATGGGACGGCCTCAATTCTCAATGTCGAGTCTTGCAAACGCTGCTCAATTCGTTGAATACCAAGCATCATCTTGTTATAGTATTCATGGAACGCTTGGAAGACTTGTTTCGACTGCTCGTCGTAGCTGTCTTCCGGATTTTCCCCGTCATTGATTATGTTGCGCAAAAAAAAAATGTAAAGGCAAATGAACGACGAACAACAAAATTACCTCTTTCTTCCTTTCTGGCAAACTGAAATTCTCTCTTACGAACGGACGATGCAACAAAAAAAAAAACAAATAACAACGAAAAAAACGGGTGACTACGATTTGCACGTTTTCATGCCATTCCTTTGGTATAATTCACGATATTAAATTACAAACACTGGGTCCCTAATGCCATGGCGACCTAACGAATAATCATAAATTATCTCTTACTTGATAAACATCATATTGTTTTCTTAATTAATTGCGTTCGATTCTCAGCTG